ATTAACGCCGAACTGACGATGAAAGCTGTGTCAGCGAATAGCGTGTGGATTTTCCACGCTCTATGAATGGAAATTGTGCATGTTGAATATTCCATTTCGGGTAAAGTTGGATTCATCTGTCCATAAGATGCTGTCGAAAAAATTTTCATCCACTTCACACCTCACAAAATTCAACCCGTTTTTGTATATGGTAGGGATGCATGTTTTCCGAGCATACGTACGTGCCATAAGTTCTGTCCCATGATAATCTCATGATAAAAATGAAACAAGATAAGATATTTATATGAAAGATATTATTTATTCGACAACATTTTTAGAATTCATAATCAAACAGTTTTATTCAAAATGTCCCCCCTTGGCCTTCACACACTGCTTCAATCTCGCGGGCCACTCATCTATCACTGCACGCACAGCTTCCAAAGGAATAGCTGCCGCTGATCGGATCAAATCCGCTTTCAGGGACTCGATATTACGGTGGGCTTTGGAGCAGGCCAACTGCTCTAGCAGGTCCCACAACTTGTAGTCTAAAGGATTGAGGTCCGGACTCCCTGAGGGCCAATCTTCCGCAGCAATGAACTCTGGCACATTGCTTTCCAGCCAGCGCTGCGTACTCTTAGCCTTGTGAGCGGGGGCGGAATCCTGCTGGTAGACCCAGTGTTGGTTGGCAAACAATGTACCACTTAAAGGCTTGACGATAGGATCCAGTATGTCGCTCTGATAGTTTGCCGCTTTTGTTTTCACGCCCTGTTTACAGAAATGGAGCTGAGTGACCCCTTCGTAGGACACCCCCCACCAAACCATGACTGACGCAGGGTGGTGGCCTCTCTCAACTCTCGGAATGATCTCCGAAGCTTCCTGTGAACTCCTTGCATACACTTTGTCATTTTGTCGGTTGAATTTTTCTTCTATGGTGAAGATTTTCTCATCCGTGAACAAAATCTTTCGGAATCCCCCAGCTGCGTACCTCTCCAAGAGCTTCTTGGATCTTGTCGCCCTGATGTGTCGCAAGGTGGCCGTAAGTCGCTGGCCCGTACGTCTCCGGTAAGCCCCTAGCCCTAGGTCTTGTTTAATGATGCGCGACATCGTCCGGACAGGAATCTTCATTTCCCTGGATAGGATCTTCTGCTTCCGGAGTGGATTCCTTTGAATCCTGGCTTTTACGGCTTTGATGGCTGCTGGAGTCCTTACTTGACGAGGTCTTCCGCTTCTTGGCCTGTCATCAACAGAGGACGTCTCATTGTACCGCTGAATGGTCCTAGACACAAATTTACGCGATATTTGAAGGCCGCGTAAGAGTTCAAAAATCTGACTAGCACTGTGATTACACTTATGTAAAGCTATCACTGCAATACGGTTCTCTGCCTTGCCCCACTCCATCGTTATGCTTCGAGAGATCAATACAAACTGAGGTATATGTAATTACCCGAAAAGCGCTTAATCAACTGACACCACAATGTAAACAATCGGACAAGTATTAACAGGTCTACACTTGTTTGAAAACGAGGGACAGAAAACTTATGGCAATGACTATGTAGTATACGTGCACTGAAGTATGGTATATGTTTTTGCTTCGGGCAATGGCTCCGGTGCTTATAGAGGGACCTATCTCGGCTGCTTCTATTGTATCTTCTATTTTTTCTGGGCGTAGGACTCGGCGCTCCTAGCTGACGATAGGTGCCTAGTATGCGGCCCTTCATATACGGATTATGACGCGTTGGAAAAACGCGGTAGTTGGGATATACCGCCGGTTGTGGTCCACCTCTTTCAACCACATACTCCCGATACATGCGAGCAGCTGCTCGAGCATTTTCTAGGGCAGCACTATAATAGTAATGCATTTCTGCATAATCTCGCGGAGAATATGACATGATTATACTCAGATGCCAAACGTTAGATACAAATTCGGTCGACCGAAGATTGAACGCTCCCTCACCTGGAATGCCAAGTTGAATGCTCAAGCTCATTAAGCTGACCTTGGCTATTTGCGTAAAAAAATCCCCCATTTTGATTTAACAAATCTTAATACAAACAGTATCACTCGCACTGCTAGAACGAATCTACCTCATATGTCAAAGTCCATCAAGTCGTTTTGACTGTAGCTCGTAAAATAGAATTTCTTGTTTATATTTAGGTATAGATACCCACCTGCGTCAGACATTCAGATTTTTAAGGTGAGGAACTTATCGTAGCAAGCTGAAATTTTCATGCTTATTCTACATGGATTGGAATAGTTTTTACAATAAAATGAATAATGAAATACAAACTCAATTTTTGTACCGCGGATGGAAGAGATTTTCACAAGAAATGATCTTGAGAGTTTTGCGTTGATTTCTGATTAGCTTGTTAGAAAGTGACATTGCCATTGCTGAAATTAACCACTTTAGCTCATCTCAAAAAAAAGCACAGCTCTAACCTAATGGTTTAGTTATAATTGCGATTTAAAGTTCATTATCCCGTTTTTTTTCGAAATTTCACAAAATTGAAAATATCTCCTGAACTATAAAATTTCAGACCATACATATTGATATGTTTTGAGAGCCTCTATAACCTGACTTCCGTGGATCCACTACTAACTTTACACCCTGTATATCCAAAAAAATTAAAAATCAAACAGTTTTTCAAAATTTTCCAGTTTCTGTTTACGGTAGGACACGGAAATATTTTAATGACCCAAATTCAAATTTTTGTGCCTTAAAGAATTTTTTTGAGGTTCTGGGAAAATTTTGTTTTTCCCTTACCGGGCTAATATGAAATTAGTGAATATTTATTTATTGTATCGAGTTTATTCTCATACAAACGTGTATGTTTCAGAGTTCATGAAAAACTACGACTTTGATGGCTTTGATCTGATGGGAATACCCAGCAGCCGCCGACAGAGGTGGAAGTTTTTCTGATAAAGATAAGTTCTTCTATTTCGTGGAGGAGCTGCGCAGAGCGTTCGATAAAGAAGGTAAGGGATGGGAGATCACCATGGCAGTACCAGTAGCAAAATTCCGACTTCAAGAGGGATACCATGTGCCAGAGCTATGCGAGTAAGTAGTATTTTGCATACTAAAAACATATTTGTTGTTGTTTAATGTTTCTAAAGTGCTTTCTCATTTTGGGTAGTAGGTAGTAAACTTTTTTATTTGTTGCAAATATCTTTAATATTGAAAATCCTTATAGGTATAGCTATTGCGTCTGGCTTAAATATGTTCTATCCTTCCACTTCATCAAATAGAGATCCATTTTTACGACAGCAGTTAGCAAGAAATTAGAAAAAAGTTATAGCGATGAGCGGGATGCACAGAGTCAATCTACTTGATTTAACCTATAATACCTCTAAATAAGATGCTTGCTTTCAGACTTTTAGACGCCGTTCACGCGATGTCTTTATGATTTGAGAGGTAACTGGGCCGGTTTCGCAGACACCCACAGTCCACTCTACAAGAGACCCCATGACCATGGGCATACGAAAACTGAATGTGGTGAGTATAGTAGAATATTCCAAGTTAATGAATTTTGATGATTGATGTCTTCATACATTTGAAGTGCTCGTTTTGGATTTCTCTTTGCCATTTCATATTCTTTCAGTTTGTACCGCTGTATTGAGAAAACAGCGCAACAAAAATAGTAATTGGCGAACCATATGCGAGAGGATAACAAAACGGAAATTATCTGCATCTGTTTAGCAAAATAACCGATAAATATTATAACTCACTATCTACAGTTTTATTTCTTGCCTAAATAGAGAAGGAACATGAGTAATGTGTAAACTAAGGCCCTATTTTATCAAAAGTGAATTTACTTATAACTTGTACTAATACGTGATATATTGAGTTCCATGTAACGATACTCCCCTTACTTTATAAGTTACAGGAAAGATCATATTCGCCAGTTGGGTGTTTATCTTGAATAAAAGTTGTAGTGTTTTTTATGTTATTTTAAATGTATTTGCTAGTGATTCCAGTTTGGTAGAACAGGATAAGATAAGCTTCTTAGTCGAAAAAATGGTCAGATGATAGTAACTTCACTTATAAATGAGATCAAAAAAATAGGTATTTAAAAGATGTTGATTTTTTTGTAGTATTATTTCTAATATAGGAATCGAATTCGATGAATGGTAACATAAGATACTAATGATACTAACTCTGCGCAAATTCAGCACAGCCTAAGCAGTTTTTCATACCTCTTAACCGACTCAATAAAAGCACTGAAATTTTTTACATTTTAAATAGAATACAATAGATTTATAACTAAATATTAATGTTATGTACATCACAACTTGAAGTATTCTATTTACAGATTTATCTTTACTTTCTTTCGACTCTGATAGGTATTTTCTAACTTTTCAAGAGGCTTTTCTTCTTACATTATCCGAACTGCAGGAGCTCTTTGTCGGGAAAATTCTAGTTCCTCGATGGCTCATCTTTCGAGGACGTTCTCTCAATACCGTTTTTAAAAGTATCATATTCGATTATTGGACAATGAGGGAGTTCATTTAAATTATTAATATAATGTATTAAAAATCATTTTTGCCGCGCCTTTTTAAGATATTTTTTACGCACGTGCTTATGTTATTTGGTGGGCAAATTCACCCGTTACAACATTTATGTGCTTCATTACACTTTTACAAATTAACATATGTACTTGCTAAACCTCATAATGACAGTGCTGTATTTATAATTTTAGGGTGACGTATCTTAAAGAACAGTCGGCGATATGTGGAACAAAAATTGACTGTACAGGGTGTTTCACAACTTTTGCGTTCATCGTCGTGATATTAGAACACGCATTAATAATTTATTGTAGCAAATGTTGTACCAAACAACTGACGAAAACAAAATACCAGGAATTTTTGTATTTCCATACTGATAAGAACGAGTAAATAAGGTTTAATCTGTATCGTGGGTGACCTGAATGAAGATCGGTCGATTTTTGTGAAGTTAAATAAGAAAGTATTATTAATCGAAAAGGCACATGTGTGCACTAATGAGGAGTTAGTGGACATTGTTTTAGCGTACGGAGAAGCAGGGCAAAATTCGCGAACGGCTTCTCGTTTGTATGCGCACCGATTTCCGAATAGGCACACGGGCATCACGAAACATTTAGTTCAATTGTTTTACGTGCACGTGCTAGTGGAGATTTGCGCCCCAGACGTATAGTGGATGGGGGTCGGGTTCGCCCACAACGCGTTTTAAATGCCGAAGACGAAAATTTGGATATTGTGGAAGAAAATCCAGGAACAAGTCAGTTAGCTCAACAGGTCCCAGAAGTGTCACATGCAACAGCGTGATCCATATTACATGAGGCCCGGACTACCGCCTAAGAGTAAGATTTTGTGAGTGGTTGTTGCAAGAAAATGCTCGAAATGCCCGTTTTACAGCTGATATTTTGGCCACCGATGAAGCTATTTTTACTCGCAACGGGATAACCAATCTTCATAAAACACACGTTCGGTCCTTTGAGAACCCTCACGCAGTGGTCCAGACACACTTCCAACATCGTTTTTCTTTAAACGTGTGGGCAGGTATTGTCGATGAACGTCTAATTGGACCGTATGTTTTAGAACGATGGACTACAATTATGGGTAGACATGGGATGCTCGCCAAAGAAACTAGTTGTCGGCATACCATTTTATGGAAGAACATACACATTGAGTCGCGGTAATAACAATCACAATCTAGGAACCTACATTAACAAAGAAGCTGGTGGTGGAGAACCTGGACCGTACACAAATGCCACCGGATTTTTGGCTTACTATGAGGTGAGTGCTGGAAAGTTTTGTTTTGAGTATGCCTTAATGATTGTGTCAAATTGTGTAGATTTGTACTGAGGTGATGAACAAAGACGCTGGGTGGACCAAACAATGGGATGAACACGGAAAAGTGCCGTATACATACAAAGGTAAAGTATACAGACTAACACTCTCTACTTTTGTCAGCGATCAGATTTATGCCAGTAGGTCAATGGATGCATTTAAAAAAAAATCAAAAATCGTAAACGAAGATGTCCGAGTATATTTCTATATCATTAAAAGCAATCGATACTACACATATTTGCATTGCAGATTTGCTTTTTGAATGATATTGCACGAAAAGTAGCTGGTAAACTTTACATGGTAGAACTTATACTGAGTGATAAAAACAGGTAAACACTTACGTATGTTTATTAGAATTCAAGAATCTTTTACATATCGATTATCTTGCCATGAACAACAAGTGATGAAATGGTCAGGTTTTTCTGTTAAGTTTTTGTGGTGGTTGCGTGTATTGTTCGGTGATAAGCATTTAGTTTTGGTATATTTCCGGTGTCAGTTTTTCGTGTATCTTATTGAGAAGCCTTTCTGTGATTGTTCAAAATGCCTAGAGTGCGTAGGATTTGCCGGGTGTCCAGCCTAAGTGACTTTGAGAGGAGCGGAATTGTCGGGTTGCGTGAAGCCGGTCTATTGATAAGAGAAGTTTCTAGGAGGACCAATAGATCCTCACTGCAGTTTGAACGAGCATGGACTCAGGAAGGCCGAGGACAGCGCGCGAGGGGTTCTGGATGTCCCAGAGGGATCACAGAGTGACAAGACCGTCGGTTAAGACTTCTGGCTCTAAGGCCCGTATCGTCAGTCGTCCCTACAATTGTAGGCCTCCTTGATTGTCATACTCCTTTCTATCCTTCAAAAATTTCTAGATTACACTTGTGCCGTGTCAGCGTCAGCGCTCTCCTATTGTGAAGATATGTTTTCTTTTTAAATTGTAGGAAATTTCAGGCTGATAAAACATGATATAACTCAAAAGCAAGCACAATTTGATGCAAATAGATGTTTGTGACATAACCTCAAAATAAAGTTCTGACACGGAGAAGTAGAAAACTATGACAATCAAGGAGGCCATAAACGCGCCCTACAATTGTAGGGACGACTGACGATACGGGCCTAAGAGACAGATTCAGTAGTACTCGAGCTATCGTTAATCAGTGGTTTGCAGAGCATGGAAGGATGGTTGGTATGCGTACGGTATATCGCCGAATACGACAGTTTGATCTTTTTTCTTGTCGACCACATTGGGTTCTACCTCTCACAGCTGAACATCGGCGTAACCGTTTGGTCTGGTGTAGAGAAATAATTATATGGAACCAAGAATGGAATCAGGTGGTCTTTAGTGACGAATACTGCTTCTGTCTGGGGATGCACAATGGTCGGGCAAGAGTGAGAAGACTACATGGTGAAAGACGTGACCCACAATTTGACAGTTCATCACAACGTGGGAGTTATGCTGAGGGGTGCTAGTGCTTATGGTAGCAGATCACCGCTAATTTTCATCACTGGCAATATGACAGCCCAATGCTATATTCAGGAAGTAGTGGAGCCTCATCTTATTCTGTACCTAAACACCATCCAAAACCCAATTTTTCAGCAAGACAATGACAGACCGCATGTTGCCAGAGCATCGTTAGCCTTCATGGATCAACATCGCGTCAGCTGTTTACCTTGGCCACCACGATCGCCTGATGTATCTCCAATTGAATATGTCTGGGACATGATAGATCGCAGGCTCCTGCATTTGCAACGCCCTCCACATACTTTAGCAGTTCTCACTCACGAAGTTGCAGTATCCTGGAATGAGATACCCGATTGATATCGAGCACCTTATCAGCACGATGCCCAGGCGTGCCAATGAGTGTAGAAGAAATGGTGGATCCTCAAAACATTATTGAACCAGCTTCTTCAGTCAGTTGACGAATCAAGCTGAAATTTAATCGTTTTACTAGTAAGGGACACTGAGCATATATGCAAAAAATCATTAAAATCGGATAAACGTACGTAGGTGTTTAGTTTTTATGTCACTCAGTATATATTGTATATCCTCAATTATACCAGAACCACACACTGAAATTATATTTTTGTAATTCTTTTCATCCTCTCTCACTACGCGGTCGCTCTTTGTTATTTGATTTCAGGATGGGTTTTGCAAAAAGGTGGTTAATATAAATAACGTTATGCAATACAAATTATCACTGAGTGCGGGTACGCAGGTGAATTCCATTTCAAAGCAGGAGGACACACCCCTACAAGCGCTAGATGGGTACTGACCAATATCGCTGAACTATGATTATGGAGGTGGACATCTTGCATTGGAATGTACAAGATGCGGTGTTGTCAAACGAACCAATGATTCAATGTTGAAAAATTTGTGGCGATCCTGACCTTTCATTTCGGCCTAAGCGAAGTTAGGAGCCATCCGGAATCGATCCTAAACATATTCGACACAATTCTAAAAGAATCGAATAGAGACATGTTATTATTATTATTGATTCACAATTCAAAAGTATATATGTACGCTCGAAATAAAACTCAATATGCATATTAATTCCAGGAACCGGTGTAACATATTGGCAACGCGGCAGACTGTTGCGTCAGCGTTGCTACGCAACATGGCGATGAGCTTCGCTATCCAGTCGGCTTCTATCTCTTTCTAACTTATGTGCCACCTTTCTCTCTCGTACACATTCAATTCAAACCGTCGTACAAATTTGGTTTGGACTGTATTTTAATCAAATGACGATGTTCAATATTAAAATTTTTTGGAAGCCTAATTTGCCCAAAAAAGATCTCCTGCTTGATAACGACAGAATGAAGCTGCAAAAGTTGACCAAAAGCTTAAGACTTGATTAAATCACCTGAAAATATATTTTCGGAGGTTTTCAAGTCATTCATTATGGATTTCTTTTCAAAATTACTAGGTATGCTTTTTTAAAATGTCGGATTGGTATGTCGGTTCCTGTATCATGACTGATAGTCCCGAAAGAAGACAGTTCATTTATTTTGTCGATATAATACATAAGCACATTTCTCCAGTTGAGTGATCAGGTTTTTCGAAATTACTATTGAATTGTTGGGGCATCATTAAAAAACTAGCTCTGCTGCTTGAGGGCTAGTCCGTTACAGAAAAAAATAACGGCACCCCTATTACGTATTTGCAAAATGACAGGGATAGCGATCTGATTGCCATAATTGTTACTTTGGAACTAGTTACCAGTTATGCTATATTCACTTGTAGCAGCTGTGTGTGTTGCCAAAAGGTCAAGATATTTGGGCTATGTGCAGTGGTTATGATGTGATGTAACATCGTTTGCAGAGATGGTACTTTATAGCTCCTATGGTCTGAGCTGTAAGTTCTATACTTTAACTCGTGCCTTTCCTCCATAGGTGGCATTCATAGAAAGTAAGCGTGGCGTGGGCTAGCGACTAGCTAGTAGGGACGTGACAAGCATTCCAATCATATCGCATATCATGGCGACGACTTTACATAGTACGAGAGCGGGTTGTCTTTTGTGGGACGCCAATGCTCACTACGCTGTCGAAATTTGTTGAAGTTTGCAGTACCACTTACAATAATTAAGGAAAACTTGATAATGAGTTTTTTCAGAAGTGTGTATCTTCATAATACTTGTGTTTAGGACATTTTTCTTCAGGGTTATGTAGGAATCCAAGTAACACTGAGATATTCGCTCCTTGTACTTTGAAACTGTTGAAAATCCTGCAAATTGCCAAAATTTTGATAGTTTTGCCAATTTCGAAACCTGTAATGACAACTGTTACAGGCTACTATGAAATTCAAATGTTAAATCCTCCCTCGCAAGGAACGGTTAATGTTCTGTAAAATCCAAGAAATGTCTCTACATGTGGTCCATAGCCTGTGGCACCCTGTATACTATTTTCAAGATCAATACTATCTTTATAAGCGGCTGAAGGTATACCTACAGGCAATAATAGATACTCTGCAGTACCTAATACGTTTTTGCAGACAATGTCACTAAAAGTTATATTTCTCTTGTATTTTATTTTCAGTTTATCCAGGGTGTGTTGTACTAGACTAGAAATAGCAAGTTGTATGAACCAAGACCTATTCATATCTAAAAATAAAAAAGTTCTTATTTCAGTTTTGATTTATCTAAACACGCCCACTATTCAATATCGCATACTTTAGGCACCTTTGAACCGATTTTCAAATTTGGCACGATAACAAAGTTACCCAGAAGTAACTTAAAACTAGACCTGTGGCTGGGAAATCCAGGGTCGACCTTGATTCTATTCGCTTTTTTGGTTTTTATCAAAACATCTTCTAAGCTGAAAATTGATATATTTGACAATATACAAAAAAGCCAATGAATGGTGCTACCAATTAGCAGAATAGATTGATTGCTTCTCTTTTAGTGTCTTAGTTAAACTTTTTAATTTACCAAAATATCTTATTTTTACCAGCTTATGTGACACAAATCTTAAAACTTCAAATTCTATCGACTTAGTTTCACCAACATTTCACAAAATACTGCTTAATATCGAAGTAAAGATGTTTGTGGAACTCAAAATTCTAGGGTCGGATTCAGTTTTTGTATTTCCTTGTACTTCATTAAGTGCAACACCTTATAAGTTATACTATGAATACATTGTTATTTCACAAGAACATTAACACATGATATAAATAAAATGAAAAATTGATGTTATGCACTCTACAACTTCTTTCAGTAATTTCTTAATGACTTAATTCTACCAACTGGTGTTATACAACATGAGTTCTGCTTTTCTGTTCTGTTTTCTGAATTTGATTCTCCAGACCAATTCGAAATATGAGGGGAATTTAGAAAAACTTAATATATATGTCCAGTCTAGTCACGCTTACGTACTCTCACCAGAACTCCACGTGAGATATAGCTGTACATAATACAGTCGAGGTACATCACACAAATGTCAATTCCGGACAGGTGTACGACATTTAAGTAACTTAATTCGGTCTAAAAGGTGAAATTTAGTGGAATTGCATGTTTAATGTCCTTTTAATCAGAACTCGTTGTTGAACAATGTCAGTTGGTAGAATTAAATCATTAAAAAATTTACCAACACAGTAAATAGTGTGCATCACATTAATTTAGCCTTTTGTCTATGTCATTTGCTGCTCTTGTTTCTACGAAATAATAATACATTTAGAATACTTGCAGGGTGTTGCACTAAATAAAAAAGTCGAAATTCTGGAATTTTGAGTTCCCAAAATATCTTAGTTCAAGTCTAGGCATTATTTTGTAAAATGCTGAAAAAGACAAGTTGGTTACACTTGAAATTTTGAGTTCCGTGACACATTATCTGCTAAAAATGAGATAATTGAAAAATAAAATCATTAACAGAAAACCTGCAAAAAGAAATAAATCAATTTTCCCAGTTAATTAGAATCACTCAATGACTTTTTATACATAATGAAACATCTTGTGATTCGGGCTAAGACGTGTTGAATTTGATAAAGTATAAAAAAGTGAAAAAAAAACAGTCCTTGCAAAAATTCAACAAAATCGGTTTAATACTGCATGAGATATCTGATATTAAAGATTTGGCGTGTTTAGATATCCGTAAAGTATAAAAAAGTGAAAAAAAAAAAACAGTCGTAGCAAAAATTCAACAAAATCGGTTTAATACTGCCTGAGATATGTGATATTGAAGATTTGGCGTGTTTAGATATCGGTAAACCCTGGGTTTAGAACTTTTTTTTGTTTAGTTATAAAAAGGTTTCGGTCCATACTACCTAGTATTTCACTATGTAAGTACGGAGCACCTTGTATATTATCTTTCAAATAATATTCTTTATGTACATTTAAATTTGTAGGCACGCAGTGGGTCGGTTATGAAGATCCAGAATCAGTGCAAATCAAAATGGACTGGATTAAGTCTAAGGGCTATGCTGGTGCAATGACGTGGGCTATAGATATGGACGATTTTCACGGACTGTGTGGTCCAAAGAATCCTTTGATCCATATTTTGTATGCAAATATGAAATCATATGATGTACCCGAGCCCACAGTAACTACAACGCCAAGGGTAAGGGTTGTTTTACACAAAATATTCTAAAGGTCATGACTGAAAGTTTGTTAAGAGGTATCATTTTGATAAAGTCCACCCAGGAAGATATTCGTTGCGTTTTACTGTTACAAAATGGTAAAGATATTTCTTGGGATACATGAAATTTTACGTCCTTTTTCAGCCAGAATGGGCTAGGCCACCAAGCACAAAATCTCCAGACTCTACTAAGCCAGCTTCAACAACTAAGAGACCAGGTAGGTTTTTTGAGACAACAACTAAATAGTGATTCCTTAGATATGCATTGTGCTTCTCTTTGACTCATTGAGCTATTCCACTAGATAATGTATTAATAACAACAAACTAATTTAACTATTTTATCGACATACTGCTGATAAAAAAATCGGCACTCGGTAAATGATATTCATTTGATCGCAAGTTACTACATACTAGTTTAATAAAAAGTAGGCATTTTTAGTATCAATTAACATATTTTTTTCTGCCAGCGTGCGCATCTTCGTGCAGATAGTAGCACTGTTACGGAAAAGTTATGCGTGCGGAAAGGTACTACTTTCTGTACGCAGATGCGTGTTGAAAGTGAGTACTTTCCGCACCCTGGTAGAAAAAATCTTATACCTAACTCTTTACGGGAAGTTATACTTTTCCGCACGCGACGGCAGTTGCACGAACGACGTTAGGTAAATAACTATTAGGTTTGAGTTAATTTTTTAAATTTTTCTCTGAATTTATTTAAGATCGTATTTCAAAAATACACTAACATTGCCACTTTTCTCCTCTACATTGGATTTTTTCACAGCTGAATAGTTTTTGATTCGGAAATGGGGAAAGTTTTTGAGGAAACTTTAGGCTTCCGATAGCCGGCTTCATATTTATTATCGGTCAATTGGTTTTGACAATATCGAAAAACCGAACATGGCCGAATTTGTTTTTTGCCAGTAAATCCAACGGTTGATTTGACAGCTGTCTAAATGTGACATTATTCGGACATTTTTTTAAGAAAAATAAGATAGCATGTCTTTTGTTTTCCAGCAACCCACCTCAACTTAATGTTTCTTATGGCCGCCATATTGGATTTTTGGATTTTTTAAAACAGGGTAAAATTTCCAGTTAAGTGATGTCTCACAAGTGCATAAAAGATTGGAGTATCACCACACAAACAAGTCAGAAAAATCGTCGTAAATTTATTTTACACTTGAACAAAAAGACATTTTAAGTTATGTAATTATGTAAGTGTGTATTAATTTACGTACATATTTGCAAAACAGCCTCTATATGCATCCAGACATTTTTGACAATTGGTGACTGTTTTTCGAACAACCTTAGCTATAGTATTTCTGTTAATGTTTCTAACTGTTCTCAAAATTCTTTGACCCAGGGTTGCTATGGTCGTGGGAGGGTCAAATCCACAGGCATCATTCTTTGTGTGACCCCAGAGGTAGAAGTCCAAGGGTGAAAGGTCAGGGATCTAGGAGGCCAAGATATTGAACCATATAATGAAATTATTTTTTCATCAAGCTACTCTCTTAAGAAGATTCTGACTTGAATGGTGTTGTGAGCCGGACATCCATCCTGTTGAAACCAGGTTCTTCTAAACTCATCTTCGGATAGACTAGCTCATAAAGCCGGTGCAACCTGGTTTCGCAAAAGCTCTAGAAACCTCTGTCCGTTTAGGTTGTAGTCAAACAGAAATGGTCCTATAAGTCGATTTCCTGAAATGATTAATACCTAGTTTCAAATAGGTGCCCAATTAAAAAGGCTAGATTAAATTACCAATGACCCCACATCAATGTTAGCGCCAAATCTGGTCTGTAGACGTCTCTCTGCTATTTCGTGAGGGTTTGCCATAGCCCAATGATGAGTGTTGTGCTTATTAAAAACTCCACAATTCGTAAACCTACTCTCATCGGATCACAAGACAAGATCTACAAGATCGGGATTTTCATTAGACTTCCTAGTATCCCACTTACAGAAGCGCATGCGCCTTGGAAAATCAGTTTCCTTGAACTATTTTAGGTTTATATGGACGGTACTTGCTCTTATTTAACACTCTCTGTACTTGTTGATTTTGACACACCAATTTCTCGTTCTGTAGTTCTTACTGATGCACTATGGATTTCGTTGACAGCTTCTGAAATTTTTCTGTGCCGATTTTGATTTTCAATATTGTATCCGCTTCTAGGTTGTTCGAAGGCTTTATTATTAAATTAACTACTATTCTTCTAAATTGGGTTTTATGAGGCTGCCGTCGTTCGGAGTACATCTCCAAGTACCTTGCTGAGGTAATGTCGGCGTTTCTGTGTGACTGCAACTACAGCCCTAACATGTCAAACTTTTTCATTTGAGTAGGGAATACCGGCCATTTTCAACACGTTTTGACATTTTTTTGTCAGATTTATGATTTTAATAAGAGAAAACGTACCTACTACTTATTAAAACACAATTTTAATACTTTGAATTATTTAACGTCAAAGGCAGAGCCTCCTTAGATGAAAAAAGTGCGTTACATATTAATTTTATTTTCTAACAAATAAATCATGGCCTCCTTAGAAAAAAAAATAATACATAACATTACGTGTGATGATATTTCGATGGTATTTCAAGCTTTTATGCACTTGTGAGACATCACTAGGCAGGAAATTTTACGCTCTTTACAAAAATAAAAAAATCCAATATGGCAACCTCAAGAAAAATGAAAGTTGAGGAAGGTTGCGGGAAAACAAAAGACGATTGAGACATGTTATACACGCTATCTGGTTTGCCATAAAAATATGTTCGAATAAAGTTACATTTTGACAGCTGTCAAATTAACCGTTTGGGATTTACCGGCAAAAAACAAAATTCGCCATTTTTGGCTTTTTGAGGATATTTCCAAAACCAACTGATCGATCGCAAATCTGAAGCCGCCTATCGAATGCACTAAGTTTTCTCTGATACTTTCCCCATTTATTCTTTGCTGTAGGTATAACAGGAGATCCGAGATCTCTGTATAGAGAAGCGAATCTGGGACACACTGTATATATTTATATACAGTATCCATAATTAAGTTGCCTTAATTCGTAATGAGAAAGTATCCCTGTAATTTCTTTGGGACCAAAGCAAAGTTTTGCAAAGCACACTCTTTTAACTTAAAACTCAAGCTTTTAACGGTCTATGCCATCATCATCAGGAGATAAAAACAAAATTTTGCAAAATAGCAACAATAAACAATTAATAAGGAGTATCATTACTTACTAAGACGGCGAGATTATTGCTGAATTTGCTCTTAGATGAAGTAGAAGAGAGCACATAGTCAACGAACAAAAATGTCATACATTGGCATTGGCAAACCTTAGATATTTCAAAAAAGAGAGTTTCCTAATTTGGCCGCAAAACTATTAGATAGTCATTTGTTTCATAATATCTTCAGTCAAAAATTCCTTCAGTTTTTATGAATATGTATTTCCGGTTTTAATGATGTGATGTTGTACAGGATGCCCATCTATAAATGGACCCCTCTTTAACTTTTATATGACTTTCTAGAAGAAAAAGAAATATATTAAAATTATAGAGTCTAATATGAAGTTTTCAACTTTGTATTTAAAAGAGCTATCGAAGTGGATTAAGATATTGCCTTCAAATTTTATACATGTGGCAATACAGTAAGATAGTTTGACAGCAACTGTCATCTGAAGGATGGTTGACCATGCCATAGTGTAATAAGGCTTAGTTTGTACCCTTGCGGATAGGAAGCTTGACACTTTCAATATTACAGAGGAATGGCAGCCTAGTACTACCCAGCGCCCTAGCACACCATCTCGCCGGCCGTCATCCACATCCTCTCCTGAAGGTTCTGCTGTTTCTTCTACGTCGGTACCTGCAGGAGCAAGTGCAACAGCAAGTCCAGCAGCAAATCCAACAACTGCTACCAATCCCAACGAGATAGATTATCCGACTGAGTGCAAAGGAGATTTCATGCCGCATCAAGATTGTGAAAAGGTATTCATATAACTCTAGACACCTTACCTGGTAAGACCAATTTGTCATCTGTCATGATATTCATCTGAGAATCTGAGAAACCGAGAATCTAAGAATCTGAGAAACCGAGAATCCGAGAATCTGAGAATCTGAGAATTTGAGAATCTGAGAATCTGAGAATCTGAGAATCTGAGAATCTGAGAATCCGAGAATCTGAGAATCTGAGTTCGAGAATCGGAGAATCCAAGAATCAGAGAGATAATAATCAGAGATTACGAGAATCGGAGAATATGAGGATCTGGGTATCCGAGCACGTAATTTCTTCAGACTGTAATTAACAGTATTTAGGCAAGCTGGGAACATACATGCTTAGTTAAATGTCGTTCGGTGTTAAGATTTATATATATTTACACTTTAAAAATATGTTTATTATTAAATTATTGACAATTTTATGGAGCCTGAACCTAAATTACTACATTCTTCAAAATGGTTAGTCCAGCTGTATATATATATATATACTTTTTGGTTTTGCACATAAACAAAACTTTCTTCTTTAAATTTTCAGTACTATCGGTGTGTTCACGGAAAAGCCATGGTATTCTCTTGTAAACCAGGATTGATCTTCAACACTGCATCCAGTGTCTGCGATTGGCCATCAAATGCTGACCGAGAGAGGTGTAAGCAAGCGTAAAATATTATAAATGTGATTTGATAGTTAGGTTAGATATACTTTTTGAGACTTTTACTGTAAACCTGTTTTCAATAAATTATTTATAACATTTATGTATTTTAGACTTTGTTTCCAACTAGATATTCGAAACCGTTGTATGCGATGAAAATCAGGGCAACCAATTTATAGGATATAACTTAATGATAGGTCGTAGTTACAAGGGCGCATCTCTGATCTAAATTTGAGATGAAAATCATATAAACATGTGTCCTAAAAAGTTTAGTTTTCCAGATACAGAGTGTCAAAGCCTGAAAGAAAGTTTTTTATCAATATCTGAGCGGGAGATGCTTATTCCGATACTTATTCTAAAAGTCTTATCAAATTGTTATCACTTTTTCATTGTTTGGACTTTTGAAAAATGCTTATAAATAAATATTGTGCACCGATCAAATTAAGTTGACTATTTAACAATTTTTTAAGCAATGAAATTGGTTTTATTTTCTTGAAAATGAATTGAGATACGACGAGATACCATGTACCTTTATCTGCTTAATTCGAAAAAATATGTTTTTTTCGAAAAGTCTGACTGATTTGTTATCAATATTGTATGTAATACTGCTCTAATAGACGATTTTATTAATATCTCAGCGGAGGTGGTTATTCCAATACTTTTTCTAAATGTTTTGTCACTGTTTAGACTTTTGAAAAATGTTTATAAATAAATATTGTGCATCGATCAAATTAAGTTGATTATTTATTAATAATTTTTTAATAAGAAATGAAATTGGTTTTATTTACTTGAAAATGAATTGAGATACGACGAGATACCATGAGATAGTGGAGCTGTATCTTCATCCCACTTTATGGCACTGAAATTTATATTTATATTCCAGTGGCAACTTAGCATGTTATTGCAATTATAAACACTGCCAAAATTCAACAAAACCGGCATAATGATTGAGATATTAACAAAAAACAAATCTTACAAAATTTCACATATATCTTGTAACAAGACATTTTATGATGTATATGAGTGCTTTTCTACTTGAAATTGATTTAGGAACGCGCATTTGTAATTACGACATACCGTTAACCAACATAGCTGATTTGTTTTTCCATTATCTTAAAAATGAAATGCAATAGATCCAACTTTTTTGTCTTCATCTCTTATTGATAGCCAGTATTATGTATGTTATGCCAGCCTCTGGAAGTCATATTCTAAACCACTTTTCATTGGTTTCCGGAAAAAATATTCCAAATATTCCATAGCGTATTGAACTTGAGCTCTTTCACAATACTACATCTGTATGTGGCATACATGGGTGCCCGCAGGTTTATTCAAGGGTGACGACACTGTCCAGAAAAAGTTTTTCTACCTATTTCCTGGTTCCTGGAGTCAAATCTCACTATGTTTGGGGTCGAGAAAAGTGAATATGGCCATGAAGTTTTTTAATAGCTTTTATTTTTAAGACACACAGCAGTTCATTGTATACAATGGTCTATTCGCAATGACGTATCCTTTTGTACGTCGAGTCGGAGCTGTTAAATTTAGTGATCTTAGGGTCTAGACGACATCAACGCCATTAAAACACTTTTCGCGAAATATTCATTGCATTTGTTTAGCTGTCTAACATGCTACTCCATTCTGTTGAAACTACATTTCTTGTAGGTTAGGTATCCGAGTTTTAGAAGCTACACAGTGACCTGCAGGTTACGTCGGCGAGCTTTATAGCCATATGTAATACTTTGTGGCTCCAAAGCTCGTCCAGTTAACCGTAAGGCATAAAGTTTCAGCAGAATGAAGCAATGTGTTACACTGATGTGAAATGAAGAATGTTTTGCGAAGTAATGGGAAACGTGGCTCAAATTCATGCGTCTTGAAGATACGAATGGGTATGATATTGGGGTCTCTATAGTTACAATCCTGATCAGAAGAGAAAAATGCTGAGCAATTTGAATGCTTAAAAACGAAATTATCTCTCTTCTTGGGTAAAACTAGCTTCAACCAATCTTGCAACAATAACCGTCGCCGGAATCTAGTGATATGAGTAGATGGGGAGTGCCAGTTACAAAACCTCCCGAGGGGGGTGAAGGGGTGGTTTGTGTGGTAGGGTAAGAGGTTTAAATTCCAAGTCAAATGAGTCGACGGAGAGTGTCTCCCCCTCCTTCCCACCTCTCTCCCCCCGCTACTATAACTCATCGACCGGGCGGACGAGCAGCAGCGCTCTTTTCCCACTTCAATCTCGTGATCCCTACCCCTTAATCGAATGATATGACCATCCTACTAGTAAAACCTCTTGTCTTCAAACCCCTCCACCATAATCCATACCGACAAATTTGTATCATATAAATAGCTCGAGAGAAAGTCGACGAAACTTAACATTTCTTTGATTGCCTTCACTCAGTTGAAAGACAAATTTTAAGGCATTACAATATAATGTATGTTATTCATGTATTTATCATGCGTTGATGTTCTTCAATGAAATAACAACAACTCAATATGTCAGGTATTTATTTAATAATAATGCATTGTATAATCCTATAGTAAACCTGTAACGGTTTCACCGTCCGATCGTATTTATTAAATCACTTCTCGATTATCATTTCATTAATCCCATCTCTAGCTTTTTTACTTGGAAAATTTTCCGCTTGGAGCGCTTGATGCGGAGTTCCTGATCTGCGATCTTCCTCGCGCTTCCTTTTCACTTGAGCCGCCGATCGAACAAGAGCTAAGAATTTTCTTCTCTGTAGCACGAGGTCATATAGCACCATGTGCTAGAATTTTGTAGAATGTGTGTCCGTATAGGACAAAATGCTGAGTTTTATAATACTATACAGTTTTATTGCTGGATCTGCCTATAGTTTATAGATAATCGATATGTAAGTGGTTTATTTCTTGTACGATTTTAAAATATCCATCGAACGTCATTTTCGACTACTTCGATCATTCGCCATAACTTTAATCAAATCGAGGTGGAAATCGATCCACATCGATTTTACCTCTGTGTGCGTATATATATTCATCGTTCAGAGAAATTATAATTACGTTGATTATGAATATTCGATATTTGTGTTTTTATATCAGAAGCATGTGGAGAAATTTTTGATGACCACCATCTTGTTTTACGCTTTTTTTTGCTATTTCATGATTTTATTTTATGAAAGGCATTTCCAATTTTCGGTTTGATTTTATCAAACTATGTAATGTAATTCTAACCTAGAAAATCGTTGGTTCTCTTTTGAGGCAGACTGAGATTGGAAATGCCTTGGCCATTAGGGCACGTTGCTAATGCACACGGTTCTTTTTCAGATTGGGGCCACCCCCTTTCCCTTTCTCTTTCCCTTTCCCTTTGTCTTTGTCTTTGACTTTGCTTTTGCCTTAGTCTTTGACTTTGCGTTGCTTGGCCTATCACTTCACCCATGCATGTGCCTTGGCAGCGCCATCGCCTTTAAGTTCAACTTCGCCTACAACTGGTTCTGAAGCCACTAAATGTGAGGTCACCCCTCATAACTGGAACCTCCACTTCAAGCACCTGGCCATCCTCGCTTCAGTCTAGTCAAAATGGACCAGCGAAAGATAAGTTGATAGTTTTATAGCAGCGCCAAAGATGTAAAACTTATTTTGTTCTTTAAAACTGTAAAATTGTAATGTAATGAAAATGCTTTCTTGTTAAATAAAATCTGTTAAATTTTTGTGTTCTGTTTGTTCTTCTATCCTCTAGCCATACCATGGTCGACACACAGCTACACGCCTGTAGATGTCTTCATGCCACCGACTGAGCTATCGGAAGCTAATGGTAACCCCCTTTCTGTGATTGTGCAGAAAAGTTGGAATCTTCATTGCATTCCATCTTTTCTGGACTTTTTGCGGAAAGGAAGTGTTACATAAATTGGCGCCCAACGTGGGGTTTCGATTGGTGTTTGGCTTTGTCGACAAGTGGTTTGCTAGTGGAAGATTGGCAGACAGAACATAGTTTTCAAAATCCTTTACAATTTTTGGCAGCATTTCTATTTTTAATTGCTTTTGGTACTCAAATTTCTAATTCTTGAATCATCCTTACTTTTTGCTTAATGTTTAAAATTTTTATCAAAAGATTAAAATTTTTCCACCTGTTTATTTCATAGGCGTACTATGCTTTATTAACTTTTAAAATTGTCTTGTTTATTAGTCAGCAAGATCATTGCCAGAATTTTCTTTTATCACATACTACTATAGTTTTTATTTACTGCTGGGGACAGTTATAACTTTTTTCTCATTGTAATTTTGAGATTGATGATATTTTGATAATTTTTTGTTGAATATTGATAGTCTGGGGACTTTAGGTTTCCCAGCATTTTTGTCGAATATCATCAAACTTTTGATTGAGGTTGTGACTATTGTTGTTGATAGTTTATATATTCTTATATGCTTTTCATTTTTGATCACTAACCTCTTAGTTTTTGAAAGTATTCCTTCATGTGCAGTTTTTTGATTTCTTGAGACTTTTCATGTATGCATATATAGCCTAATTGTTGGATCTCTGGTGTACTGATATAGCTCTCATGATGTTTGGTACGTAGGAAATTTACTTTCAAAATTATTTTTGCCTTCCCCAAATGTATTTACTTTTTGAATTTTTGACTGTACTTGAACTTTTGGTTACTTGTTTTCATTTTAATGGCAATAATCTACTGACTAGAGTTATCTGGAGTAAATCATTTTGCGATTTATCCATTTGTCTGAATTGTATGAAATTGATATTCATAATTTTTCGTACATTTTGGCGGTTTACTTTTTTCAAGTATTGACACTTGGACATAGTGCGTTGATACTTACATTTCTTTTGTTTTTTTTTTCAAGAAACAAATGATGTTTTTCTTGACTATACTTTTGCTACTTGTTATCTGGTCGAATGGTTGTACATTTGTTCTTCCGTGATAACTTTCAATTTCCTAGTAAAAAAAAATTCTTGAATGCTTCTTCGAATTTTTTTTTTGGTTAAGTTGGGGCGAGTGTAACGGTTTCACCGTCCGATCGTATTTATTAAATCACTTCTCGATTATCATTTCATTAATCCCATCTCTAGCTTTTTTACTTGGAAAATTTTCCGCTTGGAGCGCTTGATGCCG